GTGCTGATATCCCTTGGAATGAGGAAGAAGTCATTTGGGATGACGAGGAAGCAGAGAACACACCCCTTGAAGTGTTTCTGGCATCGCAGATGCTGGATGAGTTTCTTCCAGTCTTCATGAGGGAAAAAATTGATTTAGATGCCCTGATGCTATGTTCAGATGAAGATCTACAGAGCATTCAGATGGAGCTTGGGCCAAGAAAGAAAGTCCTGAATGCTGTGAATAAAAGAAAACAGGCACTCAAGAACCCTGGAAAAACTGTAGATACTTGCTTATAAATTATCACCCCTGTTGCTGTAACCTGCACACTGATTCTCTTTACAAAGAGCATGCAATTCCTTTCAGATGTCTGCTAAAGCAAAGGGCAGAGAAGTTACCAATTGCTTTAGAAAGTACAGCAGGGACAAAGATTTTTCTCTCTGCGTAGATGGCTGTGGTGAACAGGATATTAATTAAGCATATTCTGTCAAAAAGAAAGAATGTGAAGGCAAAAACCCAAAAAGCTTTTTCTCCCTGAAATGTTTATGAGGTTTGGATTTCTTTTGGTCCAGATAATTTAAAATATCAGTGAAGGCAAGCCATGCTACATTCCTTTATAAAGCCCTTCCTTTTTTTCTCCAAAACCACAATGCAAAGACCATTCTCAGAGCTTGAGAGCTTTGAGTTTTCTCCATTCACTTCTGTTTGTTCTGATCACTACAAACTGCTCTTCCTAGTACTGATGATATGTTAGAAATAGCATCTGAACCTTGATTTCAGCTGTGGTTTATTGACAGTAATCACCTCTGAATGAATGTAAATAAGACTAATTTGCAGCAAGTTTCATATTTTTGACTAGTAAAGTTTTTACTACTGTACTGATAATAATTTAAAAATACATGAAGTATCTTGCAAAAAGATGTTCAGTCTGGGTTCTATTTTCTTTTCTCATCTCATTAGACTGGATCCAGTTGCCACAACCCATCACATCCTAAATGTCATCAAGACTGCAATACTTTTAACTACAAGAAGCTGAGGTTTCATTTTCAACATTTTGGATCTGTTTTGGTGTATCCTCAGCTTGGCTCCTATAGGCTGCATTTACCATGCAAAGTCCCAGTAATGAGGATTCATATCACACACTGTTTCTTGTGGGTTGTTGTCAGACTTAGCCTGAGAACTGTGTATAACACACACAGAGAGCTCATGAAAAGAAAATGAGACTGTGCTGCTGTGGAAGCTCCTGTTCTTCACCATCTGTCTGCAGGCATTCACAGCAGGGTTCCCCTCATCTCCCTCTCAGATGTGTTCTTTTTGGAAGCCAGCACTAGCAGATATAAATTAATCACTCCTGTTCAGTTTTGTGACTCTAATAAGGTGTTTGTGACAGCTCTGGCTAAGATCACAGATTTTAGATGCACATTTATTAGCAGAAAATTTATCTTTAAATCTCTTTCTATAGCTTTCCATTTAGGCAGCTGTGATATTTTCCTTAGGGTTATACTGCATTTGTGGACACAAATCCTAGTTAATGATCTGGGTTTTTTCATGTTTCATTTTTCTATATCATCTTGTGACTTTGATTTGTATATCACAATACCTTTCCTGGGCTGGACTTTATACTGCATTCTTTCCTCTGTGGATTCCTGTACTTGAGCAGGTTGATATTTTCTTCTATTAGGCAATCACATCAAAGTCCTGTTCTGTGCAGCCTTCCATGATTACTGTGCTCAGCACAGTAATAGAATCAGACACCTTCCTCCCAGACTGTGTTGTTAACCTGCTTGGTTGCTTTCATTTTGGCCAAGAAATTCCCAAATATTTAACAAAGCAGGAAGGAAACAATGAATCTTACATATTTGAAGGCATACAATAAGTGGATTTTAAATCCCCCTTCCCTATCGTGGAGATGCAGATGCTTCCCATTCCTCCTGGCAGCCACAGAAGAGACAAGCCCAGCTTCACCTCTCTCTGCATCCTCCAGTCCCTGCAGCTGCAGCAGCTGAATTCCTCACAGGGTTGACACAAGGTCTGTCCTGCTCTGACAGCTCTGATAGTGCAAAGTGCTGAGCATAATGCACCTTTTTCAAGCCAGATTTTAAATAACTGGGTTAGACTGATTTATCCAGGAATTGCTTTCAAAAACTTTAAGTGTGCAAACACCTGTCACTGATGGGAGTCCAATGTAGGTAGAAGAGAAGGCACTTTAGGGGGAATCAGGACCCAAGTATCTCTAAATTGGACTGAAAATCTGCCTCTCTGCTTACTCATCTGCAGCCTCTGACAGCCAGAGATAACAATCAGTTTATGTGCAGATGGTCTCTGCTCAGTTGTCAGAGGCATCCTGTGTTTAGGGATGTCCTTATGTATTCCCACTGACTATGGAGCTGGAATGAACAGCAGCAGATCTATAGGAGTCCCTTGTCCTTCAGAAACTGCATCAAGAGACTGAAGAAGCCCCAGAGCTCCCCATATGATACTTATTTAGGTAACTGAATCAACCCCATTTTTTAATTTTTATTCTTTTTAATTAAAAAAGTGCAATAATAAATAAAAAGGAACACTCATATTTCAGGTTTTTTCCACTTGTGGATTTTTTTACCAACCCCTTTGTTTCCTTTATAATTTGGAAGTATTTAGTGAATCCTAGCTGTGGCTCCTTAGTAATATTTGTATAGCTTCGTTCAGTTGGAGAGATTTTATGTATCCCATGTGCAATCCTACAGCCCAACCCAAACCCAAACCACAAAACCATGGGATCTCACATGAGCACAGCCCTGCCAAGTACAAGGCTGTCCTTCCTTAAGGATTGAGTTCTCTGCAGTGGACAGACATCAAGAGAATGTGCAGCACGAGACAACAACTGCAAAACTGAGTATCACAGAGGAATTCCCCTTTACATTCTGTGATCACATTTACTGAGAGAGCAGTCACTGCAACAACTTTAATACTTTTCTTGTCTTAAAAAAAACCCAAAAAACCACTAAAACCAGAAAAGTAACAGACAACAAAATGAAGCTGAAGAAAAACGGTAGTGTCTATTTATTTTTAATATAAATGCAAGTTACACAATTTCTTGATCCTCTAATTTGTAAGAGAAGGAAACATGGAAACTGATGCTATTCTTTCCCCTCAAAAAACTTAAGGATGGCATCCAAGCAATTCCCATTGTAACTGAACCGATTCCTCTTCGTGACATCAGAGGTACAACACTGAACCAGGCTCCCAGAACCTCCCATTGCCAATGAAAGCTGAGAACACTGTGGGTTTTCAGAACCAGCTCTTTGGACTGGCTCAATCTACTTTTTAAAGTGCATAGTCTGTAGCAGAGTAGGTGTGAAAATAAACTTCTTCCCAAACACGGTGTTTCACTTCAAATTACAGATCTTGTGTTACACGGGCACAGGACTGGGGGAATGTTGTCATAAATAGTACATTTCCATACAGTTCCTGAATAATGCAACATTGATGGCTTTCATGTTTGCTTCATGTGGAGTTCTCCATTACTGAAGTAACAAAACTAAGTCAACACACACACACACTTCTGAACACTTCAGAAATTACAAAGAAGAAAAAAGACGTAAAAACAGAAGGGTAATTTTGCTACAATTAAAATGCAAAAGCTTACAGAGAAATTTCTGTTGTTCTTTCTGATGGAATAAACAGGATCAATGGAGTTCAACTTCTATCCACACGAACACATCCTGTGTCCCTATTCCCTTACTGGTCTGGTACCCTTTCTATGCTACCTCTGCAAATTACAAACTGCCACTTACTACTTTTTTCCAACTAGCTTACACCAGGCTTATAACTGGGAGTATTGTTTACATCACACCTGCACTGTACTCATTAGCCTCTTCTGTACTTAACTATGCACCACCAAGGGCTTTAATGCCACCTGCTTCTGAACCTCCTTCCTGTTGCTCCACTCTATTCTACTGGCATTGTTTCATCTAACTCTTCCACAGCATGAAGAAACACTTAATAGCCTGCATGAAATAATATGCAAATAGAAATAAAATTTTGCAAGGCACAGCTCTAGCCTGAGACAGGAATTTGTTTCCAGGGCAATAGCTATTTTTCAGCAGATGCTCGATCTTTTGCAAGGCAGTTGCATAACAGCACAAAACTGGAACTCTTCCTTATGTCACTGGGTTCCTCTGCCAGGGAAGGATCATGAAAATTCCTGCCACAGCTAATATTTGGGATAATAGAACAATTACTAATCGAGGCATGGTACAGCCAAACTGAAAATATTTGCCTGTACATTTGAAGTTTATCATACTGAAATGAGTTTGTGTGGTTCCAACCTTCATGAAACTTAGAACTTACAGGCACCATAGGTTAATAGCAAAATCTCCCCACAGAACACAGATAAAAGTTAAATCAAAACACATTTTAGTTCTCATATGAAAATGGCAGTATCCCACCGAGGAATGAACTAAGGGAGGTACTGAGAGGAAATCTAACAGTGTGGAGGCATAATTATGTATATAAACTCCCACTCAGACCTGTGCTCTTAAATGAAAAACCACTGGGTCTGGGGGTGGGGAAGGTGGATTGCAAGGGGTGAAAATAAAAATGGTGACTTCCAGATCCCAGTGTAAGTTGGAAGGGAAGGGATGTCCAGGAGTCAGAGGTGGGCTGTGTTCCCAGGAGACCAGAGACAAGGTTACTGTCACTGGAGCACCGAAACCCATAGCTGCATTTAAAGTACCATCACAGGCAAATATGATGCCAGAGTCCATTCTCCAAACTGATGCATTTAACCCCAGTATGAATTAACTGTCAAAAACCCAAAAAACCTATGGAAAGACGGCACATACATAAATAATTAGGGAGGAAAGGCATTGATTCCAGAATGACAACAAAATATGGAAAGATACCCTGGTTAGTATCACTGCAAACATCTAATACCTGCTGTTACAAGAGAGATACATTTATTAGCAATACTGCAGGTATCTAAGATTTGCAATTAGAAAACTTGAGAAATCAGTCAACTGCTGAATTTTTACTTTTGATTCTTGAGTGTTCTAGAAGGGCTACTTTCAGATGAGATTGGTGCCTTTCTTGTTAACAAAGGATCCAAGGAAACCAAGTGCAAACCATTCTCTTGGCCTCATTGGCATTGTAGACTTCCCCTTTAGTTTGCAGCTGACCACGCATCATAAACAAATTTTGCTGCTACTGCATCTTCAACTGCCAGCCCTGAAAAAGAATTAAAGGCACCTTCAAACAGTTCTTCAGCTGTACCAACAACTTAGCTTCAGAAGGCAACAGAAGGACTCAGGAAATTATCTAA